TTAGCATATAGCCATACCGCTACCCCCAAATTTAGAATGATGTGATTGAGAAGCAGATTAAGGAGATGTTGGAGGTGGGGATCATCAGGCCAAATGTGAGTCCTTTCTCTAGTCCAGTCTTAATGGTCAAGAACAAGGTTGGTCAAGAAGAAGGATGGGAGCTGAAGATTTTGTGTAGATTACAGGGTGTTGAACAAGGAGACCATGCCAAATAAATTCCCCATCCTGGTGATCGATGGGTTATTGGATGAGTTGTCTGAAGCAGTGGTGTTTTCCAAGATGGACTTGAAGTCTGGCTGCCATCAAATCTGGATGAATGAGGAGGATATTCATAAGATGGCTTTCAGGACACATGAGGGGCATTACGAGTTTTTGTTGATGCCATTTGGGCTTACAAATGCCCCTACTATCTTCTAGTCATTGATGAATCAGGTGTTCATGTTATACCTCTGGAGATTTTTCTTAGTTTTTTTTTATGACATACTTGTGTATAGAAGGACCGCAGAGGAGCATCTGGAGCATTTAAGGGTGGTCTTTGGAGTTCAACAGGGGCATCAACTCAGAGCCAACTTGAAGAAGTGCAGCTTTGCACAGATAAGTGTGGAGTACTTGGGGCATGTGGCAAGAGGGGGTGATAGCCGACCAAGCCAAAATTGAAGCAATGCAGAAGTGGCCTCTGCCTAGGAGCTTGAGGGAGCTGAGAGTTTCCTAGGATTGACCGGTTACTACCAAAGATTTGTGAGGGGATACAGTACTATAACTTGGCCCTTAACAGAGCAACTGAAGAAAGATAGTTTCTTACGGGGAAAGACAGTGAAACAGGCTTTTGAGAGATTGAAGAAAGCCATGACTACAGTCCCAATTTTAGCTCCCTAGATTCTGCCAGATTTTTGTGGTGGAGACCGATGCATCCGGATATGGGTTGGGAGCCATACTCATGCACAATCACAGACCTATAACATACTTCAACCAAACATTGTCAACTAGAGCTAGGTTGAAGTCGGTATATGAGAAGGAATTGATGGAGATTGTGCTGGCTATTCAGAAGTGGCACCCGTACTTACTGTAAAGGCATTTCATTATCAGGACATATCAGAGTCTAAAATACTTGCTAGAGCAATGATGGTGACGGAAGAGCATCAGAGTTGCTTATCCAAATTGTTATGTTATGATTTTGAGATCTAATACAGGCCAGGTTTGAAAAATAAGGCAGCTGATGCGTTATCACGATGTGTTGGAGAGCTCCAGGAGATGGCAATCTCAGTACCGTTGATAGTAGACTGGGGTGCTATCAAAGAAGAGAGCATGCATAATGAGGAGTTGAGGAAGATTAGAAAGGATTTGTGAAGGATACGAGTAGCCATCCTGGGTACTCACTTGAGGGGAAGAGACTCTTACATCATGGGAGGTTTGTGATGCCACGAACCTCCATCCATATTTCTCACTTACTGTGGGAGTTTCATGGGAGTGCAGTTAGAGGCCATTCCAGGGTAGAGAAGATATACAAGAGACTGGCTGCTGAGTTATATTAGAAAGGGGATGCATAAGGATGTTAAGGAAATGGTAGCAATGTGTGAGGTGTGCTAGGGGAACAAATACATGGCTAGGGCTCCAGGGGGTTTCTACAACCCTTAGCACTTCCAAATAAAGTATGAGAGAAAGTGTCCACATATTTCATAGATGGCCTATCACGATCGAAGGGATTCACAGTCATTTTGGTGGTGGTGGATAAGCTGAGTAAGTACGCACATTTCATTCCTTTACGACACCCCTTCACCAATGTGACCATGGCAACAACATTCATTAAAGAAGTGGTTAGACTGCATGGGATTCCAGAATCGATAGTTTATGACCGAAACAAGGTGTTTTTCAGCTAGTTTTGGAGGGAGTTGTTCAGGATACAAGGAACAGCCCTAAGAGAAGCATTACTTACCACCCACAGAAGGATGGAAAAATAGAGGCAGTCAACAAAAGCTAAAAGAATTACTTGAAGTGCTTTGTTTCTGAAACACCACGGATGTGGGCCAAGTGTTTAACACATGGTTTAAAATTGAGGCCCGCCTTTGCGCAATTCCAGTAAAAAACGCCTCGATGCTTACGCCTCGAGTCTTTTTTATGAGGCTTGTGCCTCAACTTGGTTGAGGCCCGCCTCGCCTCACTGGCATGAGGCTTACGCCTCACACTATATATATTAAAACTTACATAAATCTTGAAGTAAATGTCCGACATTGGACTCTATAGGAGAGGAGGAAGGGGAGAGAGTAGTTAATCATAATGATGATTCAAATGAAGAACCCCTTAGTGATGACAGTGCTGATGACTTATGAGTTCTTATGTGATATGTCATTGCTATTTATTTTTGGAAATTTGAATTATATGTTAATGAAAAGAATACTGAGATTTGGGAAAGATAGAATTTTTAGTTGAACTATATTTCATGTTGTTTTTTTATTGGGATATTTTGATTTCACTTCATATCTTATGCTTTTTTATGTTTTATATTATTCACTCATTAGTATATAAAAAAATTATCATTTTATGTTTACGCAATTTTTTTATTTTGAGGCTTACGCCTCAAAACGCCTTGAGGCTTATGCCTCGCCTCACGAATGAAAAACGCATCAATACCCGAATACGCAATTTTAAATATTGGTTTAACATGGGCCGAATATTGGTATATTACCTCATACCACTCAACTTATCAGACGACGTCTTTCAACGTACTATAAGGAAGGGACCCCCCACACTTAGTGCACTTTGGAAAAGGAAGCACACCAGTTTCCTCAGTTGAGAAATACTTGAAAAAAAGAGATAGGGTGTTGGAGTTGAAAAAACATCTGTTAATAGCACAATAGATCATGTATAAGCATGCAGATGCACATAGAAGAGACATCCAGTTTGAAGTGGAGAATAAAGTATTCATAAAACTGTGAAACTGCAGACAAAGGACAGTGGCCAACAGGATAAATGAGAATTTGTCCCCGATGTACTTTGGCCCCTATGAGATATTGGACAAGATTGGAGAAGTTGCGTACCGTTTGAAGTTATCCCCATCCGCCATGATACATCCAATCTTCCAAGTATCATAGTTGAGGAGAGCTCTAGGGAGCATGAAGTTAGTATAGATTTACTAGCAACTCTGACAGAGGAATTGGAATTGGTCAAGAACCACTGGAACTTAAAGGGGTGAGGGAAAATAAAGAGGGGAAGAAAGAAGCACTTATTAAATGGAGGGACCTTCCCAACTTCGACGCTACTTGGGAACCATACGAAAGGGTAAAGCATAATTTCCTTCATTTCACCTGGAGGATAAGGTGAGTCTTTGGAATGAGGGTAATATTTAGGCCCCCAGCTAAACTGATCCCTCCTGGACCGATTCATTACTACAGGAAGCGTGCCCACAGAGGAGGGTGGAACTTGTGTGGGGCCCAATAATTGATTGGGCAAAGGGTTTAAAAGGGAAAATTCAAACTTAGGGGCAATTTAGGGATTAATTAATTGTATTTTGCTTTAAGTAATTTCCTTTTGGCTAGGATTAGGGTTATTTTGAATTTGGAGATTGATTTGGAGATCTAGTATTTTGCTTTTGGGCACTAGGCTTTGTTTAGAGATTTGGAGAGTTGAATATTCCTCTCGAGTTGAAAATTCATGTATCGTTTGTTGCTTTTCTCGTTCTTTTGCTGAATTGGAGGATTTGTTTTGCTGTTTTCTCTACTAAATTGTGAATTTCTGCATCCAACTTGCTGAAATTCAGCAATTTCCTGCACTTTAGTGGCTATTTTATATTACAATGAATTAGCATTGCAATACAAGCCAATAGCATCATCAGATAGTCAGCTTAAACATTACAAATTTATACCAATAGAAACAAGAGAAACCAATGGTGGAGCTAATTGTAATGCCCTAAGCAAACCCAAATAAGGTCAATTAACACAGGACATCAACCATGCACAAGAACACTTTAGTAGCTGTGAAATAGAGAGCCCTTCATCGAAATATAAGAATATGGTGTCAATTCACTTCTTTTCAGAGACATTAGTTGAAACCTTCACAATTAGTTCTTCAAAGGTATGAACCTAACTCACTATAATATGGGTGTCATCTAGTTAATAATATTTTTGAATTGTTGTCAAGGTCTTAGTATTAAATCCTATGTACATCAAGCATGAGCATGCACTAAATATTAAAAGAAAAAGAAAAAACAAATATGATATCATTCTCACAAGTTGCCTTACATTTTGAGTATCCATATCCATTGGTAAATTAACCTAGTACATCCATTGACAAATATTGGGTGCCTTTTTTCTATTTGTTTTCCTTTCCTTAGAAAAATGATTTTATATGCAATCAGGAACATAGTCGCCAAACAGCTTTTCCAAGAAGAGCAGGATTTTATTGCCATTACCTTCGATAAAAGCATGCTCCCATTTACATGCTGTAATCAAAATATTGAATGCTTAGGACCAATCGTACCACTCAATTAAAAAAAAAAACATGCAGCATTTTTTTGTGTGAGTTGAGTTGATTGCCAATTAAATAAAAATCACACAAGCTCTCAACCAACCGGCTTAGGGACGGACAGCAATGCATAAGCAATTTTGCATTAGCCCTCCCTCAACCAAACTGTCACGTCTATTTTCACACAAGAAAAGAACAATCTAACATGGTTTCACCGAGGTCTGAATAAAGTGGTATGGACGAATTGTATAAATCAATTATTTGTTTGCTTCGATTTTTACAAACCAATTAGATGATGCTTCTACTCTATCTCAAATTCTATTAATTAATGTGAAGCAGCTAAATTTACACAATGGAAATCAATATAATTCGAAAGCCTGAAACTCGCTAAGTTTACCCTTCTTGCGCCCTTTAACAAGCACTGATTTTTACTAAAGTGGGCAATGGGGAAAAAACGGAGGCAGCACAAGAAGACAAAGCATATTTGTGTTGTCATCTTAATAGATATTGGCATCTCGCAGACTCGCACAAATAAAAGGCCTTCAAGGAAGGGATGAACAGGGAAATCTTACCTGGGCTTCGGCATAGCTACCCTTGGCATGAATCCCATCGGAACCAATAAACAATGACGGGAACGGCTCGTCCGGTAGTCGTCCCTCTTTTGCGGATAGCAACGCTCGTGTTTTCTTCTGCATGCTAACCAGCACATTGTGCCAGGTATTCACCCTCGAGCGAGCTCGGCCATCCAATCCGACAACGTTGAGATCGGCAAGATCGTCAGTTCGCATCGCAAGCACCTCGTTCGGAAGCGCGCCGTCGAGGATGGCCATGAGGCAGGCGCAATAGCCACGGGTGATCTCAGAATCGCTGTCAGCAGCGAAGCGCATCCTGCCAAGGGCGTCCATCGAGGCGGACAGCCAGACCTGGGCGGTGCAGCCCATTACACGATTGGAATTAATGCGGTCAGCATTGGGAAACAGCGGGAGACCGGAAGCGTAGGATAGTAGACGCTTCACGCGGTCGATTGTCTCAGGGAGAGATCGGAACTCGGAAGTGAGTCGCTGGAGGCGGCTAGATGGGTCATCGGAGTGGGCTGTTGTAGGAGTGGGATCGGCAATCGACTTGAAGACAGCGGAGGAAGAGGATGTTATGAAGGGGGCGGCGGAACATCGGAGTAAACAGGGGGCGGCTTGTTTGGGACGGAGCCTCCGGGTGCTGGAAGAGATAGGGTTAAGTTTAGGGTTGAGGACAAGCCTACTGGCTAGGTAGGACGAAGCCATGAGAGAGAGAAAGAGTTTGAGAAGAAACGGGCGAAAAAATGGCGGGGAGGCGGGCGGGGGATGGTGATATAAATACGCTGGATGTACGGTTTAAAGCGAGTTGGTGGTCCTCAGGGATGAAAAGCTGAATATAGGCGTGTCAAACAAAAATTTGATTCGAATTCTATCCAAATTTTTTTGTTAGGATGAACCTGATTTAATAATGAATCAGATTCGAGTTTCGATTTTTAGCTTATTTTGAGTTTCGAGTAGGATTAAGGTGAACTAGAAATTATGATGTGGACCCCATTTTGAACCGCTTCGTCAAGCGTATAAGCGATTAAGTCGTTCTGTCTGTGAGTCCTAATCATGCTTCCGCCTTCCAGTGGCACGTTCTAGTCATTCCTTCCTCTTTCAATAATGTTCACCTCCTTCAATGACATTCTCTCCTATGGTCGGAAGACTTCTTCCATTTTGCCAGTGAACCCTAATCGACACTTCGATGATGTTCAACACTCGTTGTGAACGTATCGTTTTCGAGCGTGATGTAAAGTTCTGAACGAGACGATAAAAGACTTATTCGTCTCCTTTGACGACGATCCTTCTTGTTGGGTCAAAAGTCATGACAGCTTGTCATTTTTTTGTTGGATATGAAGTAAAGACAATGACAATATGGAGCTCACTCGTTGCGAAGGTAACCATTTTATCCCATTTTAACACCCCAGTTAAACATCCCTTTTTTACTATTTTTTATTTTATTATTATTATTTTATAGTATTAAATATCACCTTATAAATTTTATATGATTATATTTAATTTTAAAACTTTTCTTTAAATGTCTAATTGATTCCTTGTATTTTAAATTTTTTATAAAATTTATACTATTATTTTTAAAGAGGTTCGGGTTTCCACACAAATAAAACATTAACCTTTCATTTTAATTACTCAAGTAAAATCTTAGCCTTTCCAATTATTAAGTTTTTTTTAAGATTACAATTATTACTTTATTTACATTAATTATATTTAAATAAGATTCATTAGAAATGCCAAAGATTTTAATTACTTTTATTTCTAAATCTTAACCTTCCATTTTATAAGTAATTTAATAAAAAACATTAATTCTAAATCAACACGCCTTTTCACCTCCCAATTTTAGAAGACAAAAAGCATCAACACGCCTATTCTCCTCTCTGTTGTAAGTTTTCCTCTTTCTCTTTGACAAAGTTCAGAAGAATAACTTCTCGTATTTTTGCCTCCCAAGTCTAGAAAACAAAGCAACCTCAAATCAAATATAATTCTTATTTTATGTCTGCTTGTTTACTTGGGTCGTTATTTTGTAGTTTTCTGATATCTTCATAGATACTTTTTTCCAAACCCCTGTTCTTCCACTATTTCATGAAATAATGAATAGGTAACGTATTTGTGTTAAATTACAAAAATCACAACAAAGTTCATATCCTCTATACATACCATCACCAAACACTCAATTGTGTATATTGTTGAGTTGGGCTGGCTTCTCTCACTTTCATTACTGCCATCTGTCTACATCCAAAGTATAGATATTAATGACTTTCCTTTCAAGGAAAAAATTTATATCAAAAAATCCTAATGCCTTGGGTTGGTTTTTCAACGAGCTTTTATTCTGTATGGAGATCAGACAGGAGAACTGTCTGGTTAAGTATTGGGTATCCAGCGGTACCGAGTGCGGGTACCGAGCTGGGTACTCACCAATGGAGTGATGTGGCACATTTTTATTGATATCCGGACGCCCTCCACACTCCGCACAGAATAATTCTTCCTTTTCAAGTCCTTTCAGAAATAAATATTTTATCTCCCCTTTCTTTGCTTGTCTTTGAAATATATATATATAATCTGAACTTGATGTTTTCTAGGTTTAGTTTTTTTTAATTCTACCATACAATTTAACATGGTAAAATTTATTGATTCTTTTATACTTTTGTGTTAAAATAAATTAATTTTGCTTGACAATTAAATTTTATCATTTTTTTTTTTTGCCTTAAATCAAGTAGATGTTATAAGTTATCCTATTGTACGAACCGAAAAAATAATAATAATAGATGTTATAAGTTGTAACAAAATTTGATATATTTTTAAATTTTTTTTAATTCTAATATCTAAATTTTGTTTATTTTTAGATATTTTCTATAAAAATAAAATGTCAATAAAAACTTTATTTTAATTTTATTTCATCAAAAAAGTGTTTATAAAAATTTTTGCAAGTAATATGAAGATGACATCCAATGCATACGGAGAATATTTTATTTTCAATAAAGCCAATCTCGAATATAGTTTTATTAAATATTAAAAAAATTTATAAATAATATTCAAAAAATAAGTTTCTATCAACAGTTTAGTCTAATGCAAAATATTAAAAAAGGTAATGACAAATTATTATATTAAATTAGATATTACAAATGAAAAAAACTTAGATTAATTAGCTTTTTTAAGTAAAACAACACTAGCTACCTGATTTATGTAAAATTTTAATAAAACCAAATTCCCGTGCCATGGCTCACAAAAAAAAATTAAAAAGTTATTTCCATCGCTACTTTATTTTAGAAAGAAATATAAAAAAAATTAAACAAAAATTACTATGTTAACTTAGATAAAACATTAATAAATATAAAATCAAATTTTAACTTAAAACCAAATTTAAAATAAATCAATATATTACGGTAGCACTCCTTTTGTGAAGTTAAATTCTGCCACAGGGTGACATTACTCTCTCTAAATTTATTTTTGAATAAAAAAAGTTTTTGGGTTAAAATAAATAATATATATTTTTTAAAATTCGTCCAGAGAAATCTATTTTGATTTCTAAATCTTATTTATTGTACATCATGAACAAAATAAAAATTAACGAGCTTTTGTTAACTGATAAGCAACTAATGAAAGTGAGAATTAATTTGTTATACACACAAGCATTATTTTGTTTCATTACTTATTATAAATACACACGAATGGATCAGTGTTAAATTAGAGAAATTATTTTGTGCGGATTCCGGACGTAGAGCTACGTCTGGACGCCAATAAAATTGTTATGTGTGGTTTGCCTACGTAGAAGATGCCGACATGGATTTGCATGTGGATATTCATTTGTCTTGCAACCCGACCCGGTTCAAATCATTTCTCTTGCAATGTGACCTGGCCAAACATTAAATTTAGGGTTGGCGCTTATTTTTTTCAGAATTTCAGCCGCGAATCACTGCAATATATAAGGCCTTTAGCAAAAAATTTCGTTCGAAAAATGTCGATGAAGATGAAGATTGATCTGGAGGAAGACATTTCTTTTTATGAGCAAACGATACTCGCAAGGCGCGGAGGCAGAAAACTGGTATGCATACGTCAATGAAGCAAGCTCCTGTTGCAATCCATGACCCCTAGTCTGAGATTTTGATTATGACAAATAATGTCGTTTAAATTAATATTCATTGAATACTTTTGATTTCTGTTTTTGTTTGTAAGTACTAACATTTCAAGGATATCATAAGTTACTCAGGACAATAAGAAGACTCAAGATTTGGTATATTAGGAGTTGGAGTTCATAACATTGTAATTTTTTCATTTATTATCTTTTTTTTTTTCTTGAGTCTAGCCACAAATTGTATGCAAGAGTAAGTAATCAAATACACACACAGGGGGAGAGGGTTTATAAAATGAAGAATTTTTTTCTCTATTGATCGTACTGTACAAGTTTATATCGTACTGTACGATCTGATCTAGATGAAATGACTTTATGTGAACAAGTTGTACTGTACGATTATAATCGTACTATATGATGTGCTACAAATTAAAAATCCTAATCGCCAGATTAATTTAAGTAAGTTTAATAACACTTCGTACGGTATAATCCCATTCGTATTATACGACCTACTTTTGAATACTTACTTAAATTAACACCGAGATAGTGCATAAATCAAGGATTAATTTATGATTGATTATCATCTATACGACATTGTTCGTACTGTACGATCAACCGAGGCTGTTTTCGATCGTCCCAATTTTTCGTACTGGACGATCCCTTGATTTTGACTAGTCGTACAATAAGAAGAAGTTCATACCCTACGATGTACAGAGACGAGTTTCGTCATCCCGGGAATCGTACTATATGAACAGAAGGATTTTATATATCGTTATGTACAGATTTATATCGTACTATACGATTGAATTCAAAACTTTTTGCCTGTTCATAAACCTTCGTACCATGATGATGTCCATTTTGTAATAATCATACTGTACAATATTGTATCGTATTGTACGAACCTGACGGCTAATTTAAAAATTTTAGGGTTTGTGAGAGGAAGGAGAAGGTGGGATTAGTGAGGGAGAAGGAGTGTGAGGGAGATCACACGGTTGCTCCAAGCTTGCTACACTTTGCTCCTCCTATGGCCCGAGAAGATCTCTTGGGAGGCTCTTTAAGGGGGAGACTCTTCTATATTCGTGTCCTCTAAGGTACTCTGCCTTCTTCAGGAGGGAGAAAAATGAGATGGTGCACTGCCGTCGCTAAGAGGATGATAAAGCGCTTGGCACTCCGCCACGCCGAGTTGGTGAAAGTGAGGTTTGTAAGGGCTTCTCGGCCTTACCGTGGGGGAAAAAGGAGAACTATTATTTAGTTATGAAATTCTCGTAGTGGAGGACTCCAGGGAGTGGACGTAGGTCAAGTGACCGAACCATTATAAAATCTCTGGCTAATTTTCACTTTACTGCTTTTTATTTACACTTGCATTTTATTTATATTAAAATTGCTTGGTGAAAATTATTGTAAAAATTCATTGTTGTAAATTGTATTTCAAGAACTTGCTTCCTCATAATTAAATTTATTATTTAAATTTTTAAAAAACACAAAAAAAAAATTATTATTATAACTCATGTTTAGGATTTTTTATTGCAATAAGTTTTTCAATTCACCCCTCCCTCTCGGTGCATCTCGTAATTTCAATTGATATCAGAGTGGGGTTTCAAAAATAACGTTTTAAAAACCTTGAAAATCGATCATGTCTCATTTTGGTAATCGTAATATCATGGAAGGTTATTCAATAACTCTTCCACCTCTTTTTGATAATATTCTGTTTGATTTCTAGAAAATTTGAATGTCTACTTTTTTAGTCTATAGACTATCATATGTTGATATTGGTTAATGATGGTTATGTTGTACTATTTATACTTGTGAATGGAGTGAAAACTCAAGTACCTTTTAATGATTGGAGCAATGAGGATAGGGATTTGGCTCAATTAAATGCGAAGTGCTTAAACTGTTTCTTTTATGCATTAAAATTTGAGAGCTACATGAGAGTATTTACCTGTACTATTGGTAAGGAGATTTGGGATAGATTCTGCATCGCGTATGAAGGAACTAGTGAAGTTAAATAGTCTAAACTTAACATTCTATTGCAAGATTATAAACTCTTTCGTATGAAACCTAGCGAATTAATTTTTGACATGTACACTAGGTTCACCCAAATCGTAACATCCTTGCATGCATTAGGTAGAGAAATTTTAAATGTTGAAAAAGTTAACAAGGTTCTTAGATGCTTACCTAGTTCCTATAAAGTTAAAATTACTATAATCACAGAATTTAAAGATTTTCACGTCTATTTAATTAACAATTTACTTGGGTCACTCATTGTGTATGAGCAAGGAGAGAGTCAAAGGCAAAGTGATGCAGGCGAAAAGAAGAATGAGCGGATGGTGGCATTGAAAGTAAATAACTCAGAAAGTGAAAGTTCTATAGTGGAGATAGAAGATGACATAGCCTTGATGACCCGACTGTTGAGTCTAGTGAATAGGTTGTTAGACCTAAGTTAATGTCCCAAGGCTACCAAGAGGGGGGGGGTGAATTGGTATTTTAAAACTTAACCCTCTTTGAAGTTTTGTTGAACCGAAATGAAATTTTTTAATGAAATTTTTATAGAAAAATTTTTCAACCACAGAGTTTTTTAAACAAAAGTAAAATGCAGAAAATAAAAACAGTAAAGTAAAAGACACAAGATTTATAGTGGTTCGGTCTAACACCAGACCTCATCCACTCCCAGAAGGCACCCTCTGAGTATTGCACTAATACCAATAGTGTCTCTCCTTTTGCACCCATAGCAAGCGCGGAGAAGCCTTTACAAACATTTTTCACCACTATCGGTGCGGCAGAAACCGTTCGTCCTTTTACACAATCCCCAGTGTTGGCAGAGAATCGTCCGTCCTTTTCACACTCTCCTAGTGGGCAAGAACCCTTCGTTCTTTCACACCTCCTAGTGTGGGCAGAGACCTTCGTCCTTTCACACTCTCCTAGTGTGGGCAGAGAACCTTCGGCTGTTCACACTCTCCAAGTGTCGCAAAGAACCGGATCTCCTTGACAGATCTTCTCACAAGAAATCTAAAAGGAAGAAAGAAAAGAGTGAAGTATTCCCAATTCACAAGTAGAGATTCTTACACTTTAAACCACCAAGTGAAGCCTTCACGCTCCAGCGGTAGGAAAATTTTTCTAGCCAGTTTCCTATTCGTTCCATGTGATCTTAAATAGGAGATATCTGTCTGATGTCCCGTACGAACTGATATCGTCCTGTACGATCAGTATAACTTTTATATGATCTCCTTATGTGTGTGTGTGTGTATTTTTATTCACTCAATTACAATCACTCCATCTCAATTCAAATGATAATTTTAAGCTTCAAAAACTAAAAGTATTTCTTGCTGAATTTGATTTGAAGACTTTGTGTTTGAGAGTTTGATTCACCTGAAATATTAGTACACACAAGAGCAAATACAAATCTTCTAAAATTATCAGGAGATAACTACACATTTGAACAATAATATTTTGGAATCATCAAAACATACAAGTTGCAAAAATGTAAAACATGCAAATAGCAACTATCTTAACAATCTCCCCCTTTTTGATGATGGCAAAATAATTATTGTTTATATGATTTCAATTTTAAAAAAAAAACTTCTAACTCCCCCTGAAATGATGAATACATGAAAATAAGGAGGCATTTTGAACTAAAGAACACAATTTTTATTTATTTATTTTTTAAATAAACAAACAAACAAAAAATTACAAAAAAACAAAAATACAAGAAAATACTAAGACAGTACTAATAACACAAGCCAAATGACACAAAACCAAAATACAACATACAAACACAATAATTTCTCCCCTTTTTGACAACAACAAAAAGTGAAGAAGAAATAGACAAGAAATGTAAGTAATTATATGAAATCCATTTAAAATTTAATCTAAAAAGGATTGACATAATGTATGCAAATTAAAACTAATAACATTAGATAAATCATAGAAATTCATAAGAATTTAAAGAAGTGATATAACATTATAAGTAAGAAGAATTTATCAAAGTCATGATTCAATTTAGACATTTGAGATAAAGAAAATCATTACAAGAGAGATGAATAAAATTGTATATTTCAAAGTCAATAGAAATATAAATGAACATAAGATCAAATTTGAATTAAGAGATTGAAAGAATCTGGAAAGAAAAGAATTACCACATGTGGCGCTTTGCACATCTTTTTCAAGTATTTGGCACATTTTTGTGCATCTTTTTCAAATTTTTGGCACATTTTTGTGCATCTTGTACATTGAGCTTTATTTGTGCGCCTCTTTTTCACATTTGTGAACCTTTGCGCATTCCTTTTGATTTTTGTACTTTTTGTACAATTTTCAAGAGTAATTGATACCAATTCTTTTCAAGATCAATAATCTAAAATTTCAATTTTTCTAAGTGCATAAATATCACTTGAACAAATAAATACAAAATAAGAAAACATCTAAATTGTAATAATAATATTAAATTTAATGTAGTCTAAATGAATAGACATGAAATTAAAAATTCTTTTTATAACAAGTTATAAACAAATTTTAAATTTAGAAAGACTAGATTTTCTAATGAAATTAATCTCAATTACATCTAATTTAAGCACAATTAAGATAAAAAAGACTAATGAAATTCATAAAGACTAAATACATTTCAAAAACATAATATAGTAAGCAAAAACACAACAATACATTGATATTAATAAGATTACATGATCAATTTATAATATCAATACAACTAGAAAGGAAAATACATAGAACTCTAAAAAACAAACATATAACTAAAGATAGATACATAAAACCATCTAGTACTCAAAACCCAAATTTCTATTCTTCTGTAGGAGGAGGAACACCACCAAATAAGTTTAAGTAGGAATTTATCAACATAACATTGGTATTAATTTCATGAACTTCATTTCTTATATTACCAATGTCCTGTTTCTGCTGCTGAAGTGAGCATCAATTTGATCAAATCGTTGATCAAAATGAGTCTCAAGTCTATCAAATTTCTCAATCAAATTCTGAATAATTTGGTTGAGGTGCAGATGTTTGTGCTACTTCTTCTCTTCTTCTCAGAATCAATGTATGTGATTTCTCTTTGTCCTCCTTGAAGATTTCTCTAAAAGAAAGCATCGTTGTAGTAGACCGGCTCTTCATATCTTCATCAGGATGTACTAGATTGTATTTCTTTCAAATAAAGGTAACTAAGTGACCT